AGACTTTGCCCTTCGAAGGTGCGCGATGGCGTCGGACGCAAATTTTCTCGTGAAGATTCGACAAGGCCTTTTGCGGCCTCGTTCGACTCTCGCACCGCGTTGAAAAGCTTGCCGCCGGCTGAGCCGGCCGTTGCCCGGCGCCGGAATTGGGATACCGCCAATCCGTCAATTTCCGCCAGATCTTATCGGCTTTTTTGCAGGAATACGTCGCGCCAAGGAATTCCAGTTGGCGCGCTTCACGGGTCGCCGCAATGCGAATCGCCGCTGCGCAGCGGCGATCTTTAATTCGAGTGGCCGAGGAGCGAGCATCGCGTCGACATCGCGGGCGTAGATTGCGAAGCAGCGAGTCTGGGACGCGTATCCTGGCCATATTCGCCGAGTAATACACTCTCGGCGTGTCCCAGTTCGAGATAATGCACTGGAGATCGCTCTGCGTTTCCGACACACATTCGAGCCCGCTCGGCCGAAGCGGGTATCAATGGTCGCGGGACGCGTAAAAGCGGAGGCGCGCGCGCGCGCGCCGTGAGACGCAAAAATCGAGAGCCGGTCACAATGACGACGAAGAACGAGATGAGACGAGACGGGACGAAATGATGTCTCTCGGGCGATTGAGAAATCGCGACTGCGAGAAAGCGGAACACGGCGAAAGGACGTGCGAAAGCACACGCCTGAAAAATTTGCGCTCGCCTCGCACTTGCGATTTTGGACTGCTGAGGCTACCCGAGACGAGCGATCAGGTAGGGGCCGCGCTCCTCAGCAACTTGACGTCTGCTCGCGCGCGTCCTCGGAAATTGCGAATTTATCATCCAAGAATATGGCTTGACAGTCGCAACAATTTGAACAATGTTTCAATTCGCTGATGTTGATAAACTCTTCTCGTAGATAATTGACGATCAAATATGAATAATCGACAAATGGTCCTCTGGCGTGGGATTCGATTACGATTTAATTTACCACATGAAGAGAGAGAGAGAGAGAGAGAGAGGGGGGAGATCATGTATTCGAATCGCATCGCGTTTGCGCGACAGACTTGCGTGAAGAGCCAATTGCTCGCTCGATTGATAAAAGTCTGCCGGCTGTGCACTTTCTTCTCGCATCGACTGCAGCGTAAACATGAAAGGCGCGCGCGATGCGTCCTAGATTCTTCGGTAATTCTTTCTGCACGCACACACACGCACACACACACACACACACACACACACGCAGACCGGCAGACCGGCACATGATCGCGTACGCCACTCGTTTTCATCGGCCAAGGTCGTTATACGTCGGGTGTTCCTCCTTTCGAGCGAAATCGCCGGCGATTGAGGTGCCGCGGAAAAACACACGCGTTTAAAAGTTACGCGATCCTGCTGCCCACAACTCCTTACGTAAAGGCCGAACGCGCCCGTCGGACTTCCCCGATGGGGGGAAATAGTCCGCGCGCGCGCGCGCGCGCGCACTCTGAGCATTTTAATGTTTCGAGGAGAAAAAAATTACGCGACACGCGTGAACGCCCCGTTCCGTTTCCGCGGCTGATGGATTTTGCGCGAGCGATCGTGGCGCGAATCATGTAGGCGGTTAATAGGAAGGCGCGATTGAAAGTAGCGCGTGTGCGATATTTCGATGAGAATGAGGTAACGATCACTCTCGGTGAGCACCTCACGGTAAGCGGCTCACCGCGCGCGCAATAATGTTACCCTCTTCTTTCGCAGACAGACGGAGTCTTCGAGCGGGCCGCTGCGGCAGCATGAAGAGGAAAGTCCGGAGTCGATGATGCGCGTAAACGGCCATTCGGCACACGGTGCGAAGCAAGAAATGGGTAAGTCTTTCGACACTTTCGACACTCGTAACGACGACGACTTGACGAATTTGCTCGATCGACAAGCACCACGAGCTCGCGGCGTTTCCCTACGTTTCCCTACGTTTCCCTACGTTTCCCTACGTTTCGCTGCCAAGGTTACACTTTCAGAAATGAGTAACAGTAGGCAGTAGGCAGTAGGTAATCGTGGACTCGATCAAGATATCCGGAGTTTACAACACAAGGATAAGATATAGTTGCCTCAGATCGTTGTCGGTGGTATTATGAAGTGAAATTGAAGGGTCTTTCTTCTCTTCCGTTTGAAGAATCAGCCAACTTTCTCATCAGTCGTCGAATTAACGTGAGAAATGAGAAGGGATAAAAGTCATGACGTGTGTTGGTCCGCGCAAATAACAGCGCGGAACAGCTGAGAGAAACTCGGGAAAGTGATGCTAAAGTGGAAAGGAAACATCCTTGGAGGAATATTCAAGGTAAAACCGAGACTTTCCCTTCGTCCTTTTTCGATTCGTCGCCCTTTTTCCTAAAACGGAACGCACATCGCTTCTAGTCGATCGCTTCTCTTCTAATCGCATCGCGAAGGCTACGGGTCGAACGATTCGACGGATTCCTCGCGCGCGTCCTTGCGCGACGATTGAAAAATTGTGGTCGTAGACAATGCGCGCACAAGCTCGCACACGCGTCACGTAGGGTACATTGTCTACGGTACAGTGGCACTTGTTACATAAGCCATTCAAGGTGGCGCGATGACGTTACCCGAAGGTGCGCCCGCAGCTCATCCTGTTCTTTCATTAATAACGATCCTCCGCCGGCACGGTTCTTCGGCTGCCGCGGAAGCGCGACGGCTATAACTTGGCGAAATTCCTCGTCCTCGACCCCGCTCCCACCCTTCCTTCGGCTGAATTTCCGACGCTCCGTGAAATAACCGTGCGGTGAAGTTTGCCTCTCGCTTCGGATCTCAATCGATTTCAACATTTTTCTGTAGTAACCGATAGCAGTTTTGTAGTTCCACTTTGATCCTTCGAGCAGTCGAGCACTGGCCTTTACCAAATTCCACTTGCCTTTGACCACCCTTGCCTGCTCCTCTTTTGCCATCTCTCAACAAGCAGGTGACTCTGCCCCGTGATTGATTGTCTATTTGAGCGGACAAAGTGGCAACTGGCAGTTGTCACGTCGATTAAATGTATCGCAGTCCTTTGAAAGTCGGCGCTGCCGACGGTGGAAATTTTCCGAAGGAGGATAAACGCGCGATTGCGAATACACACTCTCGTCGTCGTCGTCGTCGTCGTCGTCGTCGTCGTGAAAAGCGAGACGAGGGAAATCCACTTAGCGTCGACGAGACGCAAAGCGGATGCGTGCGAGGATGACGAGAACGAATTTATGCGTAATTTATGCACGGCGAACGTCGATCGCTTTATTAATGATCACGTGGCTTGTAATTAAGCGACAGCCGACAGACTGCGCTGTCGTATTATGTACGTGCTCGCATTGTTCCGCGTTGACTTCATCTAAAAATATATTATACCACTGCCGATCTTCTCATCTCCTTGCTCGCTTATTTGTGTATCGCTTCTGCTCGAGGATGCGGAACAGGTGCAACGGAGATCCGCGCGCGCGAAAGCCGCTTTCGCCAATCTGACGGAGCGCGTCAGATAAATTTATTAACCACCAGACTTTTCGATGGTTTATCTCTCAGCGGACGGACAGAACGACGCCGACTCGGATAATTGGAGACGTTGAATACACAGAGCATTAAAATTTCGCCTGGTAACAAAAGAGTTCCAACGGACTCTCTCCAAGTTCGGAGTTTCTCGCGAGTGCGATCCAACGCGACTAGCGATTCTTTCGAAAGGGGGGATCTCGTTATTACCGAGCGATTATTAAATCGACGCGCCGCTCGTTACTCGCTCCGTCCGCGTCGTCGCCTATTACTTTTGCCACTCTATTAGCGGCGCAACTTTCGCGACAATACACGCGCTCGTTATGCAACTCGAAAGTTGCCGACCGCGTCGATACACCATAGCGCGGCGCGAGAGATGCGATTAGTATGCATGCGCGCCGCGCGATGCAATTAAGACCGCATTGTCTTCCGAGTAATTTATTATTCCGAAAGTTTCGGCGGGTAATCCTAGAAGCGGATAGATTTGCATCGACGGCTCGCGTGTCGTGTTACCACGCTGTACTTTCGATCCCCCCCTCCCTCCCCCCCCCTCTCTCTCTCTCTCTCTCTCTCTCCTTCCACCAGAATCGAAGGATTACGCAACGACGTAACAATCGCGACTATATGCCGCACTATATGGCGCTTAATTCGCGCCTCTTCTTTCCGCCTGCCGCCTGTGGATCGATTCCCTTCGAGCGCGGCTGCAATTTCGCAACAAAGAGCCGAACACTTTCAGCGGCGCACCGCGCGTAGATTCGTCGGGCGGATATCGCGCCCCGACGTGATGTAACGTCGATGTTTTTAGCGAACCAATTCGCACGATGCAACGAGATTTCCAAGAATCGCGAGGGTGCGCCGATATACGCGGGAGGTGAGGGAGGGGGGGGGGAGGGGGGCGACGTCGTTTGCGGAGGGCAAACGCGAGAGATTGATCCAGACAGATGGGTGATTCATTTTGCGAGGTCGCACGCGCGGCTCCGAGCGTTTGAAACACGCGGTTTACGTGACGAGATGCATTTTCGCCGCGTAAACAATGTCCGCGCGCGCGCGCAGGCAACGGCGGCCGACCTCGTCTCGGGAACACATTTTCGTCGAGGGCGAGGATATCTTCTCTCCGAGATATATTCTCACCGCGCTACGTTTTCATGGGATCTCATTCTCCGGTCGATTTTCCATCGAGCTCTTTTGAACGTGGAAACACCGAGGCACCTCTGTAATTTCTGAATTACAGACTACTGGGGGGGGGGGGGGGGGGAGGAAAAGGCTTCTCGCGAAGTAGACAGTCAGGCCATGAATTTCGGCCACGAATTTGGGCCGAAAATCTGGTAACCGGGTCACGTTGCAATTAAAACGACCGGCAATTAATTCCCGCTCGTATCGGCGCGGCGCGGCGCGGCGCGGCGAATCTCGAGATCGCGCGCTGCGTATGCGTACGTTCTAGCCGCAGTCAATGGCACGGCGAGCTACGCCGCCGTCATCTGGATTATCTCGACTATCTAGACCGTATTGATCGCGGCCGAAGCAGCTGTAGCCGCTCTGACAGTAACGTTGGGGCGGTCGCACGGGAGACACACGTGTTACACGAGCAGCAGCGCGGCGCGCGAGCGCGATGGAGTCGGCGTCGGCGTCGGCGTCGGCGACGTTCTCGCGACGGACGAGCGCAGCAGTTTTCGAGGGCGAAGACCGGCCGTGTTAGTCGACGGGATCCGCGAGGGATCGACTTCCGGCGAGTCGGAAGCACCCTGACGCCGGCGTGTCCGTTCCGTTGCGCTGCGTATCGCGGACGCGTCCCGCGGAAGTTCCCGCCGTCGAAAACGACGGAGGCCTCGGCGGCGGCGGCAGGTGTGTCGTTCGCACTCGACTTCGCGCTGGACTCGTGTAATCGATGAGTCTTTCGCTCGAAACCGCGGCACGCGGAAATGCCCAGGCGCTCTCGCGCGCTCTCTCGCTCTCGCTCTCGCTCGCTACCCTCTTTTACGCTCTATTTTTCGCCCGTGCGACAAGTGAAAGCCTTGGCCGGCAAGGCTGTCGGGGTTGATTCTTCTGGTTGTTGTGCCGCTCGACGCGGATGTGGCCGCGGTGTCGATGAACGACCTGGTCGTTGCCGGACGACTCGGGATGTCGGTGTGTGTCGATTGTGCGAGCTGATTTCTGTTGACTCGGCTCGGCTGGTGCCTCGGCGGAAAATTCATTTCGCTCGTGGCTGCGCGGCTCGAGCGCGCCCGGAGCGCTTCCGCACGGTGGATCCTCTCCACGTCGATATCAATCGCAGGTTATTATCGCAGGCGATTCGGCCGGATATGTCTCATAAATATCTTACGTGCGTTCGGACTGTTCCAGTCCGCATGCTCCAGTTGTCGCGTTGATTCGCCTCGAGTGTTACGTTCGTAGAGGAGGACGAGGCTCAGAGAACTCGCGCCGACTTCTCCTCCCCCGTGCGATCTGACGTATTATTTTTTTTTAATTTAGCGTCGTGTATTTTGTGCCGTCAGGCTATTTATAGCCCCGTCTCTTGCAGCGCGGATTACGAAACTACCGCGTGGAAAAAATAGCGGGGATACTTATTCGACACGGGTGAATAAGTAATGCTCCGCTCGAGCCTCGGCACAGCTTCAACACAGCGTTCGCACAAAGCTGTGCTGCAGTCGGCGGGCGCAGTCCCGTCCCGAGAATGTTATCGCCGAGCGGAACATATTCCGCAGACGCGGATAATTGTATCAGCGCACGCAGCTGTTCGTCGTCGACGAAAGAAAGGGAAACCAGCAACGCGACGCTTCGACGCGACACATTTGCTTTCAGAGCCAATTGAGCAACCTTCGCGTCGCGTTTGTACGTTTGCCGCACGAAAGCCGCGTGCGGTAATTCGACGCGACAACAATTTCTCCGCGATTACAATTACGATTACAATTACATTACAATGATTCTACACAATTATCGAAAGATCTCGCGTAAAGTTGCAGAAATATCGGGGAGGGGGGGGGGGAACGCGAGGCGAGCGGTTGAGACTCTTCGATAGGCCGCCGATAAAACGAGTCGCCGAAACGGCTATTAACGTACGTCTCGCGGAGAGAGAGTGTTTCCTTCCGTTTTAGTACGTGATCGATCGCGGGGTGGGGGTTTTTTTTCTGAAAGGCGTCGGGCGAGAGCACGAGACACAAAGAGGCGGCGGTGTAAGTACGAGGGTAAAGAGCCTACGGTCCGATTATCGTTCATCTCGTCGAGCGGTTATCGCATCTTCCACTGGGGAAAGCATCGACGCGCAGGAAGGGGCCACAAGTTCCACGCTCCTCGGGCTCTCTCTAAGAGATACGCGCATTTACATAACATGTACAATATTCCCGCGAGAATATCGCGAATAACCGTGCTTTGCATCGCCCAGCGCCAGATTTTATCACGCGGTTTCGTATCGTCGTCGTCGTCGTCGTCGTCGTCGTCGTCGTCGTCAGCGTCTCATTAGCGGTGGGTCACCGCGATCGCGATGTCGTATCTTCGTTCACCGTCCTAAAATGCGCAGAAAACGTAAAGGAGAATAAAGGAGAGCTCGGTGTAATTTCGGCGGCAAGAACGATGTCTCGGACAGTGCTGGAATCTCCAATTTCGGGTCTCGAGCGAAAAGGACTTTTCTCCGGTACGGGAGCGAACACGATCGCGGCCTGTTGCAACATGAACGCGTTTATTATGTATTTTCAAATGCACACCGACGGCTCTATCAGGGCCACGGCGTGCGTCCGAACGAGAGACACGGTCGCGCGCCGTAAAATTTTTATTCCGCTCGGTTACGTAAAGCGCGCCGCGCCGCGCTGCGCCGCGCCGCGGCCGGTGCTTTAGGCCCACTCTTGCCTCGAAACGTCACGCTGATACGTCAGCGCTAGAACGTGTCCACGTGACAGCGTCGCGCTCGGCGTGTTCGAATTCTCGCCATTCCGCGAGCGGGCTACTACACACACACACACACAGTTTCGCCGGCGACGACGGCAGGAAGGCGCGTTTCGCGCGCGCGATATGTCAGCAGCTTCCAGGCCGCGCGCATTCCCATCGCGGCGGCTCTTTCTCCGGCGATCTCGGTCCGTCGTCAGTCACGTTGACGAAACACTCGCGCCCGCTAACTCGACCGATGTGGCGCGACGAGGCGCGTCGCGGATGAGTGCTCCCGCTCGCGCTAATTGCCACGGCGCTAATTTACGCCCGAGACTGAGTAGTTGCCGAGGACTGATGGCGGCTCGCGCTGTCGAAGCGACGTGTCGCGAACTCGATCGCCCGGCGTCCGACGGATCGCTCTCGTGGAGAAGGTGGGAAACGGTTACCGAGAGTGCCCGTCGAATTACCGTGACCGTGCGAACGCTCGGCAATTAGCGTGCGCCCGACGCGACGCGACGCGAAAGGCGGATTATTGTTCGCGTCGCCTTCGTTCCTTCGAGCCTTATCGACTTCTGTTTGCCGGCAGACGATGCAACTAAGAATAGTCGCGTAGGCGAGCAGCGAGGCACGCCGTCGTGGAGCCTAGCAGGAAGCTAGAAAAAGCTGGGAAACTCGGAACGGCCGCTGCTCATTAGTTGTCGTTTCGGGGGAAAGCGAGTCGACAGAGTGCTGAGAGCGCGCGTCGGCGCATGAAAGGCATGCCCCGCTCAACGCATGGTGCATTGCCTCTGTTTGCGCTCGTTAATCAGTTCAATTGAATAACGTATTAATACATCGGGGTCACCGCGAGGGGTTAATCGCAATGTCCACGCCGGACACGATGGATACTATCGACGAGGCGGAGCAAGCGTGGCGTGAGTATAAAAATAATTCGTCGTTTCTCTCTCTCTCTCTCTCTCTCTCTCTCTCTCTCTCTCTCTCTCTTCATTTTCTTTCTTTTCTTTTAGACGCTGCTTTTTCGGAAAGCGCGTATCCTCCGGCAGCGTCTAACTTAACCGATACAAGAGTTAGCGATTTTGTAGCACACACGAGAGAAGCACGCCGAATCGCGGCGTCAAACAACGAGCGTTTCTCCCGACTACGACGTTACAGAAATGCAAATATTATCGGGCACCGTTGCGACACAACGCGATTCGACCTCTGACGTCCGGATATAACCGAGCCGGCAGGCGGCACGTGTGAGGCGAGTGGCGATTTATCGAAACTCGACTTTGCACGACTTTCGCTTAATATATTCCATGAATTGTAAGTCGAAGCCGGGAGATACTCGCCGTTACGCGGCGAGTCGCCGCGACAGCGCCGTTTTCTCGCTTTTTCTCGTTACCCTCGCGCGCTACTCGCGCGTACGCCAAGTGCGGAAGATTCGGCCGATAGTCATGCAAAATTAAACGCCCGTCACACGCATGCAAGATTCATGAACGCGCGCTGCCACGTGGCCGCAGCGCGCCGCTATCGCGCTCGGCGTCGGCCGAGGAATCCAATTTTTTTCCTATCTCGACCCTGCCTAGGGAACCGTGACCCACTTGCTCTATCTCGATGTGTACGTACAAGCTGATGTTCTTTTTCTCTGCCGGAGGGCCGGGGGCGGAGGGGGGAGGGGGGAGGGGGGGTTATGCCGGGGCGCCCAGATAATAATACATAGTCGCGTGTCAACTGAATCCTCGAGTTGTCGATGTCCGACGTGTTTGAACTTACACACAACGACGAAGAGTCCCGAGGGTATCGGGAAGAGTATAACCCACCCGGAGTGGATACTAGAATACTCCATTTCCCCTCCCCTCCCCTCCCCTCCCCTCCCCCCTCTTCCGGGGTCTTAAATTTCTGCCTTATTTCGCGCTGTGTTACGGTCGTTTTCGGCGCCAGTCGACATTCCGGCTGTACCTTCCTGTTATCTCGATCGCAGCATGCATATAAAATCAGCGACGACATTGTGCATGTGTGTGTGTGCGCGTGAGATTTAATTGAATTTTTACACAATACATAAGGTAGGGAAATGGCATTTGTGCCATTTGTGCCTAGCCGTTTGTGAGGGTGAAAATCATGTACCCGTTTGGCGGGTGAAAGGGAGTTGGTGAGCGGGACGAAGGGTCGCGTTGTCCTCGCATGGTCGTAAAGAGAAATCCCTTTTTACAGATGAGATGCTGGAGTGCGAGACCGGGTCCCTTTTGGGTAGAGTGGCCGACCTCGAGAGGCAGTCGTTGGCGCAGAGGGATGAGATAGTATGTCTCCGCGCCACTCTGGCGGACGCGCTAAGGCGGATCGCCCAGCTCGAGGGCAGAGAGAAGCGCGAGGAGGAGAGGAACGAGAGGAGAAACGAGAGGCTGGTGTCCTCGCCGTTGAGGAACGGCCACGTGCCTCTCAGGAGTAAGTTGACGAAGTTTCGTATCGATTATAGAAGCCCGACACTGATATCGCGCGCCACGAGATTCCTCGCAATTTGCGTCCCCGATGTTTACACTTGCCGCCTTGAGGCGGCAAGTGTGACAGCTGGTCACTTTTATTCAGTTATGATTGCTCGTACTCAAGTTACATACATAATATATACTGGGGTGATGCTGAAAATTTAAACGTTACGATTGATTGAGCAAAAACTCGAGTCTTGCACGCTTCGTTCAATCAATTCTATCGATTACCGAGCTTCGGTGATCGAGTCGCGCGAGCCGGTATCGTCCGTCCGCTCCTGCCGGAGCACCGATCCCGAATACCCATACCGCGAGGATATACCGTTTTGCTCCGACACGTAATACGTATACGCAGCGGCGGATACGTCCGCAGCGTCGCGATGTTGCGAGGCGCGAATTAATACGTCGACGTGAATGCGAACGCGGGGCGATTGCGACATGCAACCCAAGTCAGGCGTGCGCATATTTCCGGCGGACTTGCGAGCGAGCACGCGCTTACTTCTAAAGTTTCGATCGTTACGACAGGAATCGCGGATGCGAGGAAGCCTCGCGAGAGATCGCGCGCGCGTCGAGTGTCTGGAAACGACCCGGCCGCGGCCGGCGCGAGCGTCGGCTGGTGTGTGTGTGTGTGTGTGTGTGTGTGTGTGTGTACCTGTTGGCACGCGACGGGGCTTTGAGGTCACGTTCGGTTTCGCCCCGCGCAATCGAGAAACTCACGAACGAACGAACGAACGAACGAACGAACGTGAATGGGGCTCGTAATTGTTCTCGGTATTCTCGGCATTCGCGCAGACCTTGGGAAACGGTCATCACCGACCAGCCGTCGCGGAGGCTCCCCGCGCGGAGGAACGCCGCTTGAATTCGCTTGAAGGGAGAGGGCGGACTGCAAGTCGAATCGAACCGACATTGAAGGAGACTTCTCGCGGACGCAAGAGATTCGCTTTTCCCATCAAGTTTTTACTCGCGAGGTATCGCGACGTCGTCTTCAATCTCGTTTTCAATCTCATCTGACAAGCACGACAAATTCTTTGCACCGACCGGATAAAAGGATCCTCTGAGAGTCCTCTCCTAGAGTCTGATAAACGCAGTCGCGTCTGCGTCTAGAACCGCGCGATAAACGTGAGTAGTTTGGAAAGAAAAAATATCTCCGTTTTATCGCGAAGAAGAGCGTCGCGCGCGCATTTGAGAAAATCGTGTCAGCTTCGCGTTTCCAGCCTGTCGCGCATTTCTATTCAGAGGCTCACAAACAACACCCTCTCTCGACCGAATCGAAGCTGAGGCGAAAATCGGAGAATGGGAGAACCCTTGTTCCTCACGTCCATTAATAAATCCTCTCCCGTGCAATCAAGACGCACGCTCGCTCGTGAATAGATTTCTAATTACTCTTCTTCTGCGCTCCCTGCGATATTCCCGGCGATCGGCAGCACGCGAAAGAATACCTCTGGTCTAGCAGCCGCTAAACCGGCCGGCTGGGCGATCCGCAGAACATAAAACGGAGAATCGCCGGCGATGCATTAATTAGCCAACGCCGACAGCGCGCTCTTACCAAAGCGCGATTGATGAACTACCGCGGGAAAGCCGCGGTAATACACGCGGAAGACGCTCTGAATATCCTTAGATCGTTATACCGTTACATCCCTATTGAAACCCAATTATCTATGCTTCGCCTCTCGCGAGAGGCGAGTCCACTGCATATTACCTGCGCGATGCCGCCCGAAGCGCGCGCCGCGCGAAAAACAGGAGCGTCTTAACTTAAATCGATTCAGCGGGGACGGGAGAAAGACGAGCCGAGCCTCGATGAGCGAGCCGACGCCGACGCCGACGCTGACGCCGACGTTTTAGAAAGGACATCGCTTTGTAACAGGGCTGCGCAACAGAATACCGCTCGATACGACGCGTCGCCTGGGTCGCCTCGTGAAATATGTATAAAGCCCCTATACTTTGAAAAAGCAACAGACTCGAATACGCGCCGATACGGAGCCGAAATTTCGCTGCCGCGTTAAGCCTGCGCAAACACGCGTACAATATCGCCGCCGTGTTTCGCGAAACGGACGTTTCGCACGTTGCGGCACAAGGTTCATATGTTCGCGCAACGAAATATTGTCCAGCGCGCGCGACCATGCTCCGAATGAGAGAGAAAGTATGTTTTCAGGTAGTCAAAATTCGGTGCCACAAAAGGACCCGAGGCTGCGCCAGACAGGTGGTCTCAGGAATTCCTCTTCCTCGGGATCGTCGCAGGACGTCCGTGACGCGACGTCCAGTCCGAGGCGGCCTGTCAGTTACGTGCATCCCTCTCAACTACCCCAAAGGTGAGTTGTTTGGAATAACCGGGGTGACCACATTTCCGCCAGACGCGACCATTGTTTCTCGCTTCGCGCAACAAAGAGATAGAACTCGTTGCAACGAGTTCTATCTCTTTGTTGCGCGGAACTTTGTATTTGTATTCGCGTTGCGATGCATTCGGCCGAAAACTCAATCTGCCGGATTTGCCGGAAATTAGAACTAAAAGAGAAAACTGAGAGATAATAAAAGGTGAAAGTTAGCCAAGTTTAAATAGAAAAAAATGTCGATTAAAAAATAAAGGTTCAAAGAAGAGACTGAATTTCGTTTCCTTTCCTCCTGTTAACGTGTTTTTTCATTGCTGTGCATTACTCGAAAAGTAGACCAGTTTTTTAAATTATATTTTTATTATTGTCGATGGAACCTCCCTCGTCGAAAAATGTCCGAGTTATATCCCAGACAAAGATGATCACCCTAATTAGAATCGACACAGTCTAAATTATATGTTCTTCGTTTAGAGAAAGTTTACTTACTAAGTATATACCCGCGGCGTATTTTCTAATAAATATTTCATAAATATATAAATATTTCAATACCTTACCCCTCTTCACCCCTTTGCGTCACTTAATCATGTTCGTTCTCTCTATGATTTTAGAAGATCCGTCCATTATCAGTCAACAGGATCTTTACATTCGGATAGCCCGAGTAGTAGTAGCGTCTCTCCGGTGCCATCGCCAAGCCCTAGAGCTACACCACTGCCTGTAGCCAGGTGAGATATCCGACGACGAACGAACGTGAGGAAACTCACCGTGAGTCGGATCGTTGGCCGAAAAATCACACGCCGTGAAAGCGAGAGAGAAGTGACCAGCTCTGTGCTGTGCAATTTTGCTGCAGATTTCAATCGTAGACCCGATTTCAGGCAAAGTTTCAGGCAGACTTTTCGACTCGACAACGTTGAAATTGTGCCCTCCCCTTGACCCCCCCCCCCGTTGACCCATTATTAATCGTATATATTGCGTATGCGATCGTAACGTAGGCATGCGCATGCTGATATGTGTTGATGGCGTTAATATCGTCGTCAGGTTAACGAGCGTGTTAATTAGCGGCGATACTTTTCGATGTTGTTTAGCGTCGATTAGGGTCGTTAGACCTAACGTGTAGATGCAGTCGTCGCAGTTGTGTCGTGTGTGTGTGTGTGTGTGTGTGTGTTGAGCGTGAATTGAATTCGATGCCCTTAGATCGCCCACTGCAAGATCAAACGGACCGCCGCAGAGCAGCCTGAGAAGAGCGAAGAGATGGTCGTCCACCGGCGATTTTACACACTCGCCGCAAAATCAGGGAAGCAATTCCCAGCTCGTCGGTAGCAGGTAAGTCTGCGGCTGATAATGTAGCAGCTAAGAGCACCGTTTGTGCCCCGCCACTCGTGACTTTCTTCACTATTCACCGATCATACGAGTTTAACGTTTTTGTTACACCGCCGAGTCTACATTTCTTCTTCTTCTTCTTCTTCTTCCACTTCTTCGCGTGCTTCCTCCTTCGAATGATCGAGCGTATTTCCCCGCTGCCGTCGCCGCCGTCATCGTTCACTCGCGTCTTCCGACATCGGCTCGGGATGGTTAAGGGATAGGATAGGCTTCGTCTTATCCTCTCGCGCGTCGCTTTATCCTTTTCTCGCTGCCGCGCACGATAAGTGAAGATTAAACGAGCGTTACATTTTCCGACGCGACGATAACGTAAATTCTGACAGGTGTCTCGCGAGACAGCGAAATTTCGACGAACCAAGCAGTGTATTCGCTTATATTTGCATTCACTTCTTCGTTCATCGAACAATCAATTTACAATCAGAGCCAATTCCACAACGGACCGGATGTTTGCAAGTAAAAGTCACTTTCTCCCTCGCGTGGATCTTTCTCGCTCATGCAGGAAAGCCCGCGTCAATGAAAATCTCCAGGCGTACGCGGGAAAATACGTCGATCGCTCGAGGGCGATTTTTCTTCGCCTCTGCCCCCCCCCCTCTCTCTCTCTCTCTTTTCTCTGAACTCTTTCGTTTTGTTACGCACCGCATGGTTTTCGTTTGCATTTTCATTCGTTATAGATTGTCCGCATCCACCAAGTCCCTGTTCAACCTGTTCAAGCCACCGGCCATGAACAACGTCAAGCACGGGTAAATAATATGAAAAGTACTTCAGACGAGATGTGTATATATATCTTCCTTTCTCTCTCTCTCTCACTCTCTCTCTCTCGCACGTAACATCTCTCCGGGGCTTCCGTCGCGCTCGCGCATTTGGCCGAGCCACGTGCCTTTCTCGACATGCAATTTCGTAGCTCCGCAGGTGAGCGCGCGCGCGCGCGCGCGCGCCAACGTAAAGCCACCACGGTGAAGCCGCTCGAAGCGGACGTTAAACGTAAACGGCTAGTGTGTTTCCTGCGGGTTATCAGCGTGATATATCTCAGCGCGACACGCGATCCGCTCGCTCGCGATATCTTTCGTCGCCGAGGACCGATACTCGCGGCGGTTTGCCTCTTTACGCGAGTAAAGCGTGCAAAGCGCATCGCGCGAGAGAGCCCCTCGGAGATGTGAGAGAGCGTTCAGGTAACATCGGCCGCTGGCCGGCGCTGTTTCTAACGATTAATACGGCATGAGCGCGCGTGATTTATCCGCAATCCCCAGCAGCCCGGCCGCGGCGGAACGTTCGCTCGCGAGCGAACTTCTCTCCTTTTTCTCTCTCTCTCTCTCTCTCTCTCTCTCTCTCTCTCTCTCTCTCTCTGTCTCTCTGTCTCTCTCTCGGTAGTCTCGACGGCGACGCTTCGCGCTTCACTCTCACAGCAGACGAAAAACTCACACGCTGACTAATTCCTTGTCGATGCCTCGTCAGTTGCACGTGTTTGCGCGCGGAGCGGAGGAGTCTGCCGTGTGCCGTGTGCGTTTTGCACGTTTTGCACGCAGCATGATGCATTATCACCGTGCCGGCGTCATGCCGGCGTAATTAGCACGATACGCGTCGCTTTCGGCCTTGGACCGAATGGTGCATGCAAGCGCAGTATGGCGCTGGTGGCGCACGAATTTCTCTCGAAGGGACGCTCGCGGACGCGAGCGAAAATACAAAGAGGCCGTGATGCGGCGATTAGCGCGTGCGAAGCGTAAGGAGATTTAAATACCGCGCCACGGCCGATTGTCTCACGCGAGGCTCTCTGTGTGTCGCAGCGAGAATGGGCCACGTTCAGCGGAGAAAGCCGCCGCTTCGCGCAACTGTTGTCAAACGCGCCAATCTGATTGGTGCATGCTCTTGGATTCAGGCAAATTTAAGAGCACACGCCAATCGGACTGACGAATTTCACGGTTGCACGGTTTACAAAGCGGCCTTCTCCGCTGAACGCGCGAGCAATGACAATCAGTAATTGCAATCACGTTCCGCTGCGCAAGAAGCCGATCAACGTTTTGCGCAACAGCGCAGCGCGCCGAGTGGCACGTAGTGGCTCCGACTGCTTTATCGCGGTCACAATGTATCCTCTCTCGAGATAGGAGGAATCGAGCTATTTTTTTGCAGGACCGGCTCCGTCCTGGGGGAATATTGATACTGATAGGGAAACGCGCGCGTATCGCGAGAGTGGAGCGGAATACACGAGCGAGTGAGTGTACACTCGAGTGTGAATAAAGTAACGCGGCTTGTTCGTTGTTTTTGCAACGTCGATTCCGCTCGTCGATTCGTAATTACAAAGGCAAATTCTTCGTCGCTGAAAACGATCGCTCGAGATGCACGAACGCGCGCCACGAGTTCCTGCTAACAATTTATCATTTCTTGTTTCTTTTATTTCTACCAGCGGCGATCTCTTGCCACAGTGCGAATATCGATCGCGAAATTCGCGCGCGCGCGCGAATATTTATCGCTGAAATCAAGATCTCGGCGAGCAGCGCTGAAAATTCGTTCGCCACCGACGCCACCGACGCCACGAACGCTCGAACGCGGCGGCGTTTCCGGCGGTGCTCGTGACGCCGTGACGCCGCGACGTCGTCACGGCACCAGGAAACGCGGTACGCACGCGGTTGCGCAATCGCAGCAGGAATCGCGCGACTCACTTTCTTCGGTAACGCGCGAGGACGCTAAATGAGCCGTTAACCAGCAGCAGCAGCGCACGTGGCTCAGTACCTGTTGCCGCCTGCTTGGCCGGATCGCTCGACATCAAAAATGCAAGTGCGGAAGTGCTTTATCCGCGTGTCCGCTCGTTGCATCGTCTGCCAGCGAGCCAGCCTGCAATCCACCGTAATGTTCGAGCGACGCGGGCGGGGCAGCTTCATTTGAATTTATCGACCCACCCGGAATTGATTGTGCTATGCGCAAATGCGCGTCGGCAGGTCGGAAGCCTCGAAAATGATTACAACCGGGATCGCTTGTAATCGCTTTGTCGGGTCTCGGGTCTCGGGTCTCGGATCTCGGGGAAGATTCTTATCGCTATCATCAGAACATCAGAAGGGTCAATTGTACAATTATCGAGATTTTCGACAGAATGTAGATCGCGCGAATCAGGCATGAATTGTAGGGAGAGGGATTGTTCCTCCACGATCGATCCGCGAAAAACGAACAGTCGGAAGAACTTGAATGAAATTCAAGTCGGTGAGAAGGAAAGGTAGAGAGAAAGCGGACGTTGCTTGCTCGCGACTTTACGGTACGATATATAGCCACCTTGCTCCCAATCGAGCCGGTCATTAAGCGGACTCGAAAGAGGACCTTGATCGCATCCTGGCTGAACAGACGCTGTGATATCGCGAGGCTAAAAAACGGAGGAAAAGAATGCAAAGTATGACGTAACAGAGCGCGCGCGCAACACGCTTCGTGGGGTAATAAAGCCGAGCTCGTTGCTCGCGTGAGTCACTCGTCGCGGTTACCACCAGACCTCATCGACGCGAAAAGTCTGACGAATCGCCTCAGTGTAGCGTGAGCAGCGCGATTGTGGAGTGCGCCGCTCGGCGGATTTGTGCGATTTTTGTGCGACCTGTGTGCGAGATCGCAAATGGGAATTTCCGCGCGGAGCGGCTAACGAGGCGTCGCCATTGTTGGACACGCAACGACACGTGAGGAGATCTCGATTCGAATCCCGATCGAGCAGATTTCGCGCGAAGGTGAATCCCTTCGACGCGAACGAAATTTCAGATTACCCTCGCTGTATCCTCGCTGTATCGTCGTGCTATTAATCGAAGTACGATTAATTGATTCCGCTCAAAGAGAGTAAAATCACGAAACACGTCGCTTTATCCTTCAAAATAGTCGAAATTGCTCGAGAAAGAGCCTAGAAATCTCCTAGATATTTCGTCCGACCGATCCTGACGATAATACATCGAGGGTTGAGAGGAAATCAAGGACCTTACTTCGACGTTCACGCGACGTCGCGCGACGTCGCTGCAGCGTCAGCGTCTGCAAATGGCAGCGACAGGAAAGAAACTTG